AGAAAAATATGATATTTAATGAGAAATAATATAAAATGAGATTTTATCTATGTGAGCATTACATTATAGAATGGAGCCAGGTGGTTAAAAAATTAGGCGGAGCAAGTTATTACATTTTGATTAAAGTTGAAAGATCTTCTTTTTTACTTGGAAATGACAACATGCATTGAAACATAAATAGGTCAAATTTAGTAACTAACAAAGCAAATGCAATTTTAACTTACTTGGGTTCATATTTGACCTCTTCGGTATGGGACAAGATCCCCTTTCCTTGCTTTAGTCTTTCTATACCATTCCTGAGAACAATAGTGTGGAACAAAAGTCAGAGTGTCTTATGCATGTAATCGAGGCTGTAAGGCGATGTGCACCAGTGTTATCACCTTACCATGCAATCATGACTCCATTATCAGTACAAAGCTTTGACGGAGGGCACAGTAGATGCAACCCAGTGGCATCTGTGACGATTTTTAGAGTCTGTCTGATATATTCATTACTTGCTACTCCTCCTGAAACAACCTATAGAGGTGCACAAGATGAAGAGTTGAAATTTTGGTTGGGATGGAGTGGAATTTTTACCAAATGTCAATTCACCAAAGGCATTTATTGGTTGATAAAATGTCAGGTCAAGCGAAGCTAGAAGGACATGTTATGCTTTTTTTTTTTTTTTTTACATTTTCAACTTTCTTTAGTGTGTAATGTTGCTATTTGAGCATAAACAAGGTCTACAAAATTATTGAGCAAAATTCACTCAAAATGGAGTTATTCTCTATACCAATAAGCGCTGTTTCATTGCTCCCTGAAACGCATCAATTGTAGTTTTGTGTTTTCTTCCGGGAACTTTAATGTCACAATAAAAAAAAAAAAATTGTTATTAACTCGTTCACAGAATAAATGACAAGACAAACTTCAAACCCCCCACCTACTTCCCCATGCATTCATACCGCAATCACAACCACAATCATCCCCACATTTATAGTGTTGTGACAGAAAGGCCAACAACAAATAAAAAAGAAGCACAAAACAAACAAAAGTAATAAAACCCACAAAAAAAAATAAAAATAAAACTGGTCAACAATTAATAAAACAAACTACAATACAATAATACAACAAAAAATTTAATATAAAATAATAATAAAATAAAAGTAAACACTTTTGCCTTATATAAATAAATCCTGTCCAAGGAACATGCAAAAAAATAAAAAAGTGAAGTGAAGCCTAATTTAAATGCATTAGTAATGTTATGAAACTTGCTGCTATGGTAAGGGCCGCGACATTTGTGAAACACGCTTGAAGCAGTTAACTAATCACAACACACTGGTCCAGCCATCCAATCAGAGCACATTGCACTTTCTATACGAAGGGATAGAGACCAGAACTAAACAGAGTATTACTGACAGACTGGGAAGAAATGTAAATGTAAGGTATATGAAGAATAATGTGTTTTTTGAACATATAAGCATGAATACCAATTCGAATAAAACCCCAAAACAAAAACAAGACTTTATAAAAGGGCATAATATGTCTTCTTTAACATGAAATGCCACATCCGAGTCCTGAGGTGCTGTGAACTTACCAGAGTTGGATTGTGCTGTGGTAGAAGACCTTTGGATTTACAGAACAAAATGGCACGATGTGTTCGTTTGGCTAAATGAGATGCAACGGTGTGTTGTGAGGCAGCGGCGATGTCTTTAACACATGATAATAATTGTCCCGTTTCAACACCTGAGGAAGCATAACACTGTCTTACTGATTATAATCAAGAGTTCTAGAAATTGTAATAATTGGCATTGCCATCTCCAATCAAATAAACCTAGCGAGCTGCCTACCTATATTCATATAATATATACTGTGTGTGTGTGTGTAGACATGCAGGGTTGCTGCCTATATAGGGTCACTTAAAAGGCAGCGGTCTGTGTAAGCAGTAGGCAGCTCACTACGTTCCGGAAAATAACCTGTTCTATTGTTTTAAAATGAACAGATAAAATACCTTCTTCTTTCTCTTTTTTCTTTATTGCCATTGTCACCTGGTTTCGCAAACCAGCAAAAGAGAAGTTGCAGTCGTAGATCTGTCCCATCGGCGTCTTGAAGTGGAATGCACGTCGATCCCCCTCTTTAGCCAGAAGCTCTATGGCTTGCCCACCACTCAATGTCAAACACTCTGGGTGATTCCTAAGAGAAAGACTTCTAGCAATCTGTCATTGAAAGGAAACATTAACAGTTTATATGACAAACATCATACAGTTTTCCTTGTATTTGAATATTAAGTGATATCCTGATACCTTATCTAAAGAGTCACCAGCTGCTACATCCAATGTTTGCCCCAGAAGAAGAAACTCATCGATTCCTTTGGCCAGTGCAAGAAGAGTATGACCCCCAGAGACAAGGAGCACAAGAAAAGGGAAGTCTACAGGGTGCAGCATTCTTACAGTAAGGGCATGGGCCTCCATATGGTGTATAGGGATGAACGGCTTTTCATGTAATCTCACAAACTTCAGACTGAACTCCAAGCCGATCCCGAGGCTGAGGGAGAGTCCAGGCTTTACTGTTGTGGCCACAGCTGTGAGTTCATTGGGTTCAATGCCACTTCTGTCTAAGGCCTCCTGGACAACTCTACAGATGTTTTCTCTGTGTAGACGTTGGGCCACAGGTGGGATAATTCCACCCGCACTGTAAGATAATAAAACAAACAGAGGACACAACAATACAGCAGTAATTGCATCATGTTTAAATATTTAAAGTGTGTATAAAAATATAAAGCAAATTGTATATTTTAGGTATATTTCAATCCCTCTTTAGCTTTAATTTTAGTTCACATAGTCCCAACCTGAAAATGACCTTAGAAAACTTATAAAAACTAAAGAAAATGGACATTTTGGTTCACAAACAAACACACAAACGCACAAGTTATTATAGAAGACGAATGTTCAAGCTGTTTTTTTCAGTGAATCGCAGCTAAAAACCTAAACTTAAAGTGAAATAAAAATGTAACTACTAAAATTACAAAAAAACCCCTAAATTTAAATAAAAATAAATTAAATCTTAATATAAAAATAACCACAACTAATAAATAAATGACAAAAAATAAACTAAATTACCAAAGCTTGAACGAAAATGAAAACTGTAAATATAAAAATAAAAGCCAATCCCAAAAATATGAATAAATCCTACAGTAGTATATAAATAATACTAAAATAACACTGCTTGTAGTAAATTGCACAAGTCATATGGACTTGTATGACGTTTTTGTAACTGCTCCTTTGATATTGAAAACCTAGTGTTAGTCTATGTGGGTCTCAATTTATCAAGATTGGTTATTTATGAATGAAGCTAGGGGCAATACTTACTCCAGGTGTGTCTGTTTCTGAGAATGCAGAGACTCCCCCAAAATAATTCCAGTGTCGTCCAGCACAGCCGCCCCTGTCTCATCGCAGCTCGTCTCAATCCCCAAAACTAATCTAGGGCGCACTGCAGTGAAGGCTCTTCTAGACGTGATGTGCTTCATCCAGCAACGAACAGGTCCATTCAAAACACACGGAAACATTCTGTAAACACTGCCAATTCACTGTCGTTAACACTGGTCGCTTTAACTGGACACCATTCTGAAATAATACATTATAAAAACGCTTCTAAACTTGTACAAATCCATTTATGACCCTGTATGAAACGAGACGTTACATATAAACATGTCCTACTCGCAACACGCGAAGTTGGGTTCCGTTAGTTTTTTCTGTAAACTAACGGAATTATAAATTCAGCATGGAAAAAGATGTCTATGGTTTATATAAAAATGAATAAATAGGATACATTTAGTTACGATATTATTATTAGCAAAAGTTCAAAATAAAAAGCAACACACAGGAACCATTATAGAGTGCTTGTTTCCAGTGGGATAATAATACAGGTGGGATGAAGACTCACATGGGAAAGATGTTTTAGGAGAGAAAGTCTGGCTTTGGTTTTAGTCTGATTTATGGATTCTTCACACTTTGGGTGACATGAAATATTTTTGTTTGACTATTTTCAGCTATTATTTGATATTTAACGTCCATTGTTTCCTTCAAATAAGGTAATGGTCTACCTAGGTTGTTGGTCAAATGTAGATTTAGATATAGGGTAATATATAAATGTATTATTAAAATAGTTTTCATTTTTTATATAAGGATATTTTGACTCTTGAGTCTTGCACTTGAACTTTAACTCTCACATTCTGCTTCTACAGAATGATATCCATTAAATGAGTATAACAAGATGGAACCACAAGCCAAACGGAGGAAAGAAATGGACAAATGTGACACTTGGGATGTTCTTCCTGTTCTCTCCGATGAGAAGTCTCGGGACACTGAATTGTTGCCGGCCTACGCAGCACCCATCGTCGAGAAAAGAGAAAACATCTCGCCTGGTCA